GTCCAAAGTGCCAGCTGAAAGGACAGGACCTATTCCCCTGTTCTATGGGAGTTTCAGTGACATGCCCAGATTCAGTCTGCCTCCCTGGGCAACAGCCTCAGTGGAGGTGACAGACACTACACAATGCAGGATTACAGCTGTATAAGGGTTTTCTTCAAGGATAGCAACAATCTGATATTATACAACAGGTGGTGAGAACATGCTACATGTGAATTCAACCAAATTAGGGCTTAAAAAGCTAAATTCAGGGCTAAAATGTAAAACACCCTTTCCCCACTTCCCAGGCTTAAAGCCCATCCTTTGTGATGGGAAGTGCTTCTGAAGGTCACTGTAGAAGCTCAGGACCACACAATGTGAGGAACAAATTCTAATAATGACTAGCTCCCACTGGTCTGTGCATGGAGGGCCTGGCTAGCATCCCTGCATCTATTCCCCTTTGAGACTCAGCTCCAACAGAAGAGGCGGCAGACATGATTCATCACGGCATGTTTGGAGAGGCTACTAAAAAGTGTCATGACAGACAGAAATACTTTATGATGATGTGAAATACACCAAAACAAACAAATCACAGCATTTGTGATGCTATAACCGGCAGATACTAAATAAAACACTTGGCATGCCACTTAAATAATATAAAAATATATTACAAGCCGTAATGAAACAAGTTACAGTTGTGGTGATGATTTGCTTCAGCACCATAGTAAGGACACACACCCTCATTCAAATGTTAATTTGTGCTCGGTCTTAGAAACCAGGCTTGTTTTTCTGACTCTGCATTCTTTAGTGTGAGCTGCTTGAACATGTTTGAATGACTGATGTTAGAAAATACCTACAATGACAGTGTTACATTCCAATTCGTTAGTGGTTTGTTCGACCTCCTTACAGCCGAAATCAACCAGTTCAGACTAGAGAAGCAGAAACTGCAAAATGAGACATCCGGCACCTGCCCCAAGACTGCAATCACAAGCTGAAAGGAAGCAAATGTTTTAGATTTTTTTTTAAAATTAAGATTAAGCAAATGTTAAGGCCATGACAGAAATGTGTTGTCTGAATGTTCTCCAACCTCTGCAAGAGAAAGAGAGAGAGAGAGAAAAAGAAATGATTCTAGACCATTTATCTCACACACAGGAAGGAAAGGAGGAGCATTCAGGTTTTGGCTGATCTATGACAAATCACATATCAGCCATTCAGTCGAGAACACTGTTTAACTATCACACAAAAGTGACAGCCACTTGAAGCGAATTTGATCTCAGTATATTCGAGCTATGTGCACTTCTAAGACTTCAACAAGCCAAAATGGTGGCTGGTTTAAGGTGTGAACACTCCAGGCCAATTCAAATTCAAACTGTTTCAGGAAGTAGCAGAAAATGTTTCCTACTTTGGAAAATGACAGTCAGGTCACACATACTATGGTTCTTCCGCATGATTAAACTATTGAGTCACCCGTCAGTCCACTCACTCATTGTGTGTATTACTATGAACAGTTAACTGCAATGACTGCCTGATATTTTCGTTACCCAACTGCCTACGGTACCAGGTCAGATCAGGCTCGACACCCGGAAATGAACAACTACTGGTAGCTTCCATACTTCTCACAGCCGCCTAAAAACTTTATAATGAATTAGAAATGTAAGTAAGAGTTTGAAGCCGTAATACTGCGACTACAACATGACAGATGTTGACTTAAAGGCAGGGTTTTCACTGAAGGAAGTTGCTCTTTGTTATCAAACTGCTCTTTTAGTAAACTCACGTTCAGGGTAGTAAGTCAGCCAATAACGTCCTTATCAAGTGTCGGAAAACTAGCACACTATGCAGGAGTATCGCATAGGTTCAAGCAGACCTGTTAAAATCAGTTATTAGCAGACTTTAGCAAGAGTTTCATCAAATCTTACCGTTACACTGCTGATACGCTGAGACAGTCTCCTGAATAGTGGCTACAGGGGAGTGAAATGAAGCGACAGAGGAAAATCTGAGCCAGCGTCCACCGACGCCGTATCCGGTCAGCCGCCTTCACAATAAAAGCTGGTTCTAATGTGTATCTACCCAATGATTTTAGGAAAATATTGTGGTGGAAGAAATACTCCATTTTTTTTTTACTTGAGTAAAAATAGCAGTACTTTTGTGTAAAAATACTTAAGTAAAAGCCCTGCATTTAAAAAGTTAGTTAAGTAAAAGTACCAAATACTAGTATTAAAATAAAGTACCAAAACACAAAATGGCCGATTTCACATACATGTATATTCTATTATAATTATTGATGTATTAGTATGTTCATCACTTTAATATTGCAGCTGGTAAAGGTGCAGGTAATTTGAAGTTTTTTATGTACTGCTGGGTAGCTTGTGAATTTCCCATCAGGGATCAATAAAGTCCTATGATTACACTATATTTTTTATAACTAAAGTTGCCAAATAAATTGAGTGAAGGAAAAATAACAATATTCAACCCTGAAATATAGAGGAGTTGAAGTATGATTTAGGTTTAACTTCACTAGCTACAGCATTAAAGCGACACTGGCTACGTGTGGATTCATGACAAATTTCAGTGCGCTAATCTACATTATTCTGAAAAGAGCCAATCTGCATAGTGGATGCGTTTACTTTAACATACAGCTACACTTTTAGGCCTATTTAAGTAAAATTGTGATGCATGATGATTTCTGTTAGGGCCTCTTTTACTTAAGTAAAACATCTGAATACTTTTTCTATCACCATCAAAACCTAATTTAACTAAAGGTTTTTAATTGAGTAGTCATTAGAACATCTACGTAAATTTCTATTTAAGTTTTTCCATTTTGTTACTTTATAGACCAGCCTATACTCCACTAAATTTCCTATTGAAAATGTCTACTTTTGCTGCACTACAATGTATATTTATTTATATTTGTGGTTACCGATTACGTTATAGGTAAAACATTTTTTTTAAAACATATGATATAAAAATATATAAACTATTAGGGTATTTATTACTATGAATTAAACTACCAAATAGTAAACTACATTAAGTAGTTCAAATGAGCTTTTAGTAATTCAAAGCTGACTGCATGTTAATAATCCACTATTGTAAAGGCTATTTGCATGGGTACTTATTACCAACCCACCCATAAATAACACCACTACGCAAATTTTGTGTAGATACAAAATAGATTAAAGACAGACAACTGATGTTTTCCAAATCCGGACAGAAAGAGACAATCTTCAATTGTGAAAATGTAACCGGAAACTGTTTACACTAAACTATTAAACTTTTGTGCCTCGATGCACGCTTCCGGGAAAACTATGCTTATGGCACGCATGGGCATGTAGATCTGTACTGCATGTTCACAAATAGTTGCCTTTTACAGTTTGCTCACTTCCACCTCAGACTTTGCACATTAACGGAACTGAAATCTCAAGTTCAGCAGCCTACAAGTTAACAACATACGTTTTCTCCCCGAGAGCAGTACATGAAGCCCGAGTCAGTTCATGTCACAGGCGTAGCTAAGAGGTGGTGAGCAAGCTCGTTTCAAACACTCGAATACACACTACTACAGACCAAATATGGTTAAAACAAAGTAGGACATCTAGTGGTGTTGATGTGGCGGAGCGTTAGAACGTCAAATGAATAGTGGCCTACAACCAGTGTTCAAGAACACCATACTGCACAGACAGGGCGCTGTGGGAAAAGTCTGACCACAAACATTTGACCATTTAGAATTGTGGTTTTCTGTCACTTTGTAGCCAGACAGGATTCTGAGAGAAAAGCTAAACCTACTTTGATTTTCAATAAACTAGTTCCACCTCTTCAAGTCAGTCAATTTAAAGACAGATGCACACATTACAACTAAAATGCAATCCTTCACACAGTCATTAAGATCTAAATTAAAAGTAATTTTATGCCCTAATTCCTCAAGGAAGTCACACTGTAAATTCAGTGGGGATCTGCAGACTGAGGATTTTAAGCAAAACTGAAATGTTTTCTTCTTCTACTGGACAGACATGGATACACAAACGTCAAAACAGACACCATTTAGTTAATATGCACTGCAGGTTTTATTACAAGTCTCACTAACTACAGGGTACAGGGATTGAACTGGGAAAACCCAATTCAGTTCAGTTCAGTTACCTACAGCCAAAACCATTTTTCATCAGAAATTGGAGAAAAATACTGGTATTAAAAAAACAGAGCATTTAAAAGAGGGTGGGAACAATAATTTCAATCACATCAGAAGACAAGTGTAAAATATTCCGCACATTCCTAATGACCACTCTTCTGTGCAGACAGGAAGGGAAGATGACCCATTGGAGCTTCATTTCTTAGCTGGTGTCCATCTGAGGGAACAAAAAACAATTTGAAATTAAACAGGCAAATGGGACTTGTTATTGGATGAGACACTACACTGACAGCTGAACATACCCTGGCATTATAGGCGTCTAACTGGGCATCCAGCTCCTCTGCTGACAGCTGTTGCTTGCTGGCACCACCGCGGCCACCTCCTCGTCCCCTTCCTCTGGCACCGCCTGCACCTCGTCCTCCACGGCCTCTCTGCATGCCCCCGAAGCCACTGCTACGATTTCTGTTCATGCCTCCACCTCCTCTGTTCAGACTGACAAGAGTACCCATTACACACCATGTCCACAACGTGCCCCGCCCTTCCAAAAAAACAAAACTACACTCACCCCTGCATAGGCCGTCTCTGTGTGTCAATCTGTGATGTGACGAGCTGTATGTTCATAGGCCGCCCTAGAGAAAAAAAGGTATCACAAGTCTCACTTTGAGCATGTCTGTAGGACCAGTCAAGTAATTTACATGACAAAATGTTCTGAAATCATCAAAATAATAGGTTTGAGGCATACCATCAAGTGGGATGCCATTGTACTGCTTCATAGCCTTGAGGGCATCTGCCCTCCTTTCAAAATGGACATCTGCTGTTCCCAGGCTTCTTCCCGATCTGTCGTAATGAACTGCAGCCTTTTTCAGAGTCCCAAATTCAGCAAAAAGCTCCTGAGGGGAAAAAATCAACATCCTGAGTAGCTCTCTTTGCCCCACTATGCCAGGCTCACCAACCCAGGTCAACATGCTTCTCTCAAAAGAAAGAATGAGAAAAAAACAAACAAAGCAAATGGGGAGAGGAGGAAAAAAAAAAAACCCACATACCTGAATGTCTGCATCTGAGACCCCAAAGTCGAGATTGGAGACAAGAAGCTTCCCTCCAGTTTCCACACCAGCTCCTCCGCCACCCCCAGCAGCACCATTGAAGCCGCTGAAGCCATTGTCAAACATGTCATGCTGCCACTTATCTGGAAGCTGTTTCGGCTGCAACAGACGAAAGAGAACGCACCTGCTGACTTCACGATCCCCTTGCCTCTGACAATGACAGAGTCCACACGGCTGGGTGTTGGGGCAAGCAGGGGCTCCGCTTCCAACAGGACCAGGGTGCTCAGCTCCCCGAAGAGAGACCCCAATGTTCCCTGCCCACCCCATCACTACAAGCAAGTGAATCAATTTAGACAGAAGAACATACACGACAAACAACAACAAGGGGATGTGTCGTCTATCACCTCTGTAAACACATATACAATTTGAAAAAATAAAGGTCTAACACTATCTGTGGAGACTGTATACATCTAGTCAGTGATTTTGTTGGTTTAATTTTGTTATCCCAAACCCACCCACAATCTCTTACAAAACCCTAAACAACCTGCCCACACAGTCTACCAATTCCTGTTGTTTTCTTGCCAGCTGCACCTCCACCACAGGCTCTGCAGATATGATCCTCGAGTACACAGAGGGTCGCCATCTGAAGCAGTGTTGCCTCCAGCGCTGCACCACCTTCCCAGGCCCGCCCATGAGTTCTTTTCCAAGCCACGAAAGTAGCTTTCACTGAGGCGAATTGTCCATAAGAGGAGGGCGTGAATTACAAAAACTTAAAAAGGGGTAAACGACCCCGCTCTGGGAGCGTGAATGATCTCAGCGTCCATTTTGACACCACGCCATTTTAACCGGGACTTTGTTGGATATGTCTAGATACTCATTCACACATGCGGGGCGAAGATTTGCTTTATATTAACACTATGATGGGGGTTGAAGTCCACTGAACCATCCACAATTAAAAGCCACACTGGTTGAAAAGCCACCCGACAGGCCTTGTTGCAAAACCCGCCAGACATTCCCGTACAAAAGGCCGCCTGGACGCTGCACCGGGACATGGACAAAAACTATACTCCAAAATGGGTGGAAAAAAAAAACATTTGTGGGTGAATTTTCTTGTTGAAGTAGTTTCCTCTCAAATCTTTCTGACCCCCAGGATGAAAAATCTTGTTACTGCCCGTGGTCGTCTTAGCCCTAACTTAAGGTGCTGGATTCAAAATGGCGCCGCCAAGGCCTTCAGGATCCAACTTTAGCTAGTTAGCCAATAAGGCTAACACACTCGCTTTCTCCAGGGGGCATCCTTCTTGAAAATGACACATATGGGTTGTGGGAGAGGGAACAAATACTGCACACAACTTCCATTAATGCGTAACCGCAAACTATAGAGCTCTACTCCGAGGGAAACTCGGCGGTTAGCAATCATTTTATTCGCTTGACTAGCAAGCTGGCTAGATGTTAGCTAGCAGGCCTACTGGAGAAAATGGAAGGATGTAACCCAGGCATTTTGAGGTTTGCCGAAGGTTTCTCCTTTTTCTGCCCATTCCTCTAACTTTTTCATACCCTGCTGTAAGGTGTTGGTCTGCCTCTAGCGCGGCTCAGGTTCTGTCGATTCCTCATGGGGCCGGATCCACCACCTCGGCCT